AATGGTCCCCAGGACAATATGCAACTGAAAACTCACACCCCAGAGTGACTTGAACCCATACTCATTATGTCCGGTCGTGATGGTCAAGTGGATTAAGGCGTCTTGTACATACCAGTTGCGTTGCTCCTGGGAGTATGGGGTTCGAGTCACTTCTGGGGTGTGAGTTTTCCAGTTAGTTATATATATATATATATATATATATATAATATATATATATATATATATATATATATATATATATATATATATATATATATATATATATATATATATATATATATATATATATATATATATATTTCCAGCCAGAGGTGGTACTCCCTTCCCTATATATATATATATAGATATAATATATATATATATATATATATATATATATATATATATATATATATATATATATATTATATATATATATGCGAACAAGCCTGAATGGTCCCCAGGACAATATATTATATATATATTATATATATATATGAATATATATATATATATATATATATATATATATATATATATATATATATTTTTTTACAAGTTTCTTCTCACCATTTAAATTACATAAATTCCAATTTAAAAGGATCAGGAAAAAACACTTGATCTTATGATTTATATCATAAAAGCCTTTAAAATCAAACAGAAAATTTTAATACAATGTTGACAATAGCACTTATATTTCCCAAACGTGATAAAGCACATGACAAATCTTGAAACTCCTTACAAACCACACATTTAGACTACTCAACTACATATATCGATTCCACTACTGAACAATTTTCTCTTATGTTTAACCAAGTTCAATTAATCTGAAGAAACTGCAAAATTCATAAAGTATTCAGAGAGCCAAATATTAACAAATTGAATTTGGAAATGTTGCAGTTGCTTGATCAATACAAATTTGAAAATACAGTAACTGGATTTATTTAGCATCAGTTTAGAAGCAAATATATGACGACTTAAAGTCTGAACTAGACAATATAAAAGACATCGGTCAGTGGTTTGATTATGGTAGTAATAGGCAGAAAATGAGATTTCTAAAAAAAGTTAATTCCATTCCTGAAAATTTTGTCTGAAAATCTCGCATTCGCAGTATAAATAGTAATTCCTTCAACATATTCATGACAGTCATTGTTTCTCGTGATGAAATTAGAAAAGTTGTAATATCCATTGTTCTTAAATATCCAAATACAAACCATTGTAAAAATGGTATCGTTATTCCTGAAGCTTAAGTCTCACTGAAAGAAAATTATGCAAATTTTTTTAGAAGAATGCTTGCAAGAATTTATGTTATCCTTTTCTTGCATGGAATCCTCTGCGTCTTCAATTATTTTCTCATCCTTGATTTCTAGAGCTCTTTCTGCCCTCTAACTTTCTCAGGTTCTAATCTAAGGTCCTCTATTCTTACTTCTTTCTCCCTCTTATTCAACCTGCCCTCTTAATAGAACGTCGTATTTTGACGTATACTCTACTTAAGGCCAAAAATTTTTATACTAGAAAATGGTAACGGCTCGCGAAATTTACATTTTACCCATTTTCTGTTTTGGGTTCTCTGGTAGGCTAGGATAAGAACACTTTTGTGCGATAGTTTCTTGATGTTGGGAAACTTTAGGAGGACGGACCGTCTTATTAACCCCCTCTGCTTTTAGATGTTCTATATTTAGATCATTTGATCCTCTCGTGTACTAACTTTGCACTTTTCCATTCCAATTGTGTCCCACTGGCTGAGTCTCGTGACTGAACTCTGAAATTATTCCATTCTCATCGATAGGTTACCCGCTGGTCCCTGACATATCACTAGGACCGACCCCTCTACTGCTTGACACCCTCACGGGTCTGTTCACCATCACGGAGTGACTAGTCGCTGATCTGTGACGGTGACTTGTGACTGAACGGTAGAGCGACGGTCTCGCTTCATGCAGATCGGCGCTCAATACCCGATCGTCCAAGAGGTAGGGCATCTTCCTTCCCGTTCCATCCCAAATCCTTATCCTGATTCCGTCCATGTGCTATATAGACGCAAAGGCTTGGTGCTTACTCCTGATAGTTCCCTTCCCTCTCCCATCCTCCACATCTCCACTACTATCCATATCTTAAACATGTCCCTCCTCTGATATATTGTTAATCAGTTGGCGCCTTGCAACACTTCGACCTCTGTAGCTCTAATATCCCCCAAGGTCCTCTGCAATTTACCCCAACTACATCAGTGAACATTTAAACCCATTGGTCTCGTTTAAACCCATTGGTCTCGATTAAACCCATTGGCCTCGTTTAAACCCATTGGTCTCGATTAAACCCATTGGCCTCGTTTAAACCCATTGGTCTCGTTTAAACCCATTGGCCTCGTTTAAACCCATTGGCCTCGTTTAAACCCATTGGTCTCGTTTAAACCCATTGGTCTCGTTTAAACCCATTGGTCTCGTTTAAAACCCATTGGTCTCGTTTAAACCCATTGGTCTCGTTTAAACCCATTGGTCTCGTTTAAAACCCATTGGTCTCGTTTAAACCCATTGGCCTCGTTTAAACCCATTGGTCTCGTTTAAAACCCATTGGCCTCGTTTAAACCCATTGGTCTCGTTTAAACCCATTGGCCTCGTTTAAACCCATTGGCCTCGTTTAAACCCATTGGTCTCGTTTAAACCCATTGGCCTCGTTTAAACCCATTGGCCTCGTTTAAACCCATTGGTCTCGTTTAAACCCATTGGTCTCGTTTAAACCCATTGGTCTCGTTTAAACCCATTGGTCTCGTTTAAACCCATTGGTCTCGTTTAAACCCATTGGTCTTGTTTAAACCCATTGGCCTCGTTTAAACCCATTGGCCTCGTTTAAACCCATTGGCCTCGTTTAAACCCATTGGTCTCGTTTAAACCCATTGGCCTCGTTTAAACCCATTGGTCTCGTTTAAACCCATTGGCCTCGTTTAAACCCATTGGTCTCGTTTAAACCCATTGGTCTCGTTTAAACCCATTGGTCTCGTTTAACCCCATTGGTCTCGTTTAACCCCATTGGTCTCGTTTAAACCCATTGGTCTCGTTTTTAATTTTAGGATTCGTTGACTTCATCCATTATTCCACCTTATGGGTCTCTGTAAACCAATGAAAATATATTGTTGCTTACTCTGCACTGCAACAGCTTACAGCAAAGTCACTTTATTTGCCACTGTATTTGCCACTGTATTTGCCACGTTTGCCACTGTATTTCCAGTTCAGTTCCCAGACAGGCCAGTCAGTCAACACATGGTTGTCTGCTGGAGTTGACGTGGTTGTCTGCTGGAGTTGACGTGGTTGTCTGCTGGAGTTGACGTGGTTGTCTGCTGGAGTTGACGTGGTTGTCTGCTGGAGTTGACGTGGTTGTCTGCTGGAGTTGACGTGGTTGTCTGCTGGAGTTGACGTGGTTGTCTGCTGGAGTTGTCGTGGTTGTCTGCTGGAGTTGACGTGGTTGTCTGCTGGAGTTGTCGTGGTTGTCTGCTGGAGTTGACGTGGTTGTCTGCTGGAGTTGTCGTGGTTGTCTGCTGGAGTTGACGTGGTTGTCTGCAGGAGTTGAAGTGGTTGTCTGCTGAGTTGACGTGGTTGTCTGCTGGAGTTGACGTGGTTGTCTGCTGGAGTTGACGTGGTTGTCTGCTGGAGTTGACGTGGTTGTCTGCTGGAGTTGACGTGGTTGTCTGCTGGAGTTGTCGTGGTTGTCTGCTGGAGTTGACGTGGTTGTTTGCTGGAGTTGACGTGGTTGTCTGCTGGAGTTGACGTGGTTGTCTGCTGGAGTTGACGTGGTTGTCTGCTGGAGTTGACGTGGTTGTCTGCTGGAGTTGACGTGGTTGTCTGCAGGAGTGGACGTGGTTGTCTGCAGGAGTTGACGTGGTTGTCTGCAGGAGTTGACATGGTTGTCTGCAGGAGTTGAAGTGGTTGTCTGCTGGAGTTGACGTGGTTGTCTGCTGGAGTTGACGTGGTTGTCTGCTGGAGTTGACGTGGTTGTCTGCTGGAGTTGACGTGGTTGTTTGCTGGAGTTGACGTGGTTGTCTGCTGGAGTTGACGTGGTTGTCTGCTGGAGTTGACGTGGTTGTCTGCTGGAGTTGACGTGGTTGTCTGCTGGAGTTGTCGTGGTTGTCTGCTGGAGTTGACGTGGTTGTCTGCTGGAGTTGACGTGGTTGTCTGCTGGAGTTGACGTGGTTGTCTGCTGGAGTTGTCGTGGTTGTCTGCTGGAGTTGACGTGGTTGTCTGCTGGAGTTGACGTGGTTGTCTGCAGGAGTTGACGTGGTTGTCTGCTGGAGTTGACGTGGTTGTCTGCAGGAGTTGACGTGGTTGTCTGCTGGAGTTGTCGTGGTTGTCTGCTGGAGTTGACGTGGTTGTCTGCTGGAGTTGACGTGGTTGTCTGCTGGAGTTGACGTGGTTGTCTGCAGGAGTTGACGTGGTTGTCTGCTGGAGTTGACGTGGTTGTCAGCTGGAGTTGACGTGGTTGTCTGCTGGAGTTGACGTGGTTGTCTGCTGGAGTTGACGTGGTTGTCAGCTGGAGTTGACGTGGTTGTCTGCTGGAGTTGACGTGGTTGTCTGCTGGAGTTGACGTGGTTGTCTGCTGGAGTTGACGTGGTTGTCTGCTAGAGTTGACGTGGTTGTCTGCTGGAGTTGACGTGGTTGTCTGCAGGAGTTGACGTGGTTGTCTGCTGGAGTTGACGTGGTTGTCAGCTGGAGTTGACGTGGTTGTCTGCTGGAGTTGTCGTGGTTGTCTGCTGGAGTTGACGTGGTTGTCTGCTGGAGTTGACGTGGTTGTCTGCTGGAGTTGTCGTGGTTGTCTGCAGGAGTTGACGTAGTTGTCTGCAGGAGTTGACGTAGTTGTCTGCTGGAGTTGTCGTGGTTGTCTGCAGGAGTTGACGTAGTTGTCTGCTGGAGTTGTCGTGGTTGCTCTCACCCTCAAGACGACCTCGACCAGTCCACTCCGGGTCAGTCCTCCTCGAAGACTAACTAATCAGTTCACTTCCAGTTCATCAAATTTAGTGAATTTACAGACTCAGAGAATCCACAGTCTTTCATCCGGGGGGTCCCCCCTGAACCCCAAGGTAACTAGGGGGGTTCTGCAAGAGATAGTGGTAAGCTAATTCTAATTATATGCAAATGTATTTTTGAGATGTTTTTTGTGTTAAATTTTCCCATATAACCAGAATCAAGAGTAAAGACAAAGCTTATGTCTTTTCAGTTGACAATGAAATCCGTGAAAAGTGATCAAGTACAACCTGGAATTATTTCCAGGGTACAAAGGTAGAGAAGCGTTGCGATAGGGGATATATTATTGACGAGGAACTGCCTTACTTTACTGAGCTCTTCGCCAACCTGCTCCAACTGGAGCTGAGTTTGTGAGAGCGCGATTGTCCAACAACCCTATGATGGTACCCGTCAGGGAACTACCTACTACCCGCACCCCCCCCCCCCCCCCCTGTCCGCTCTCATCCACCCGCCTTCATCCCCTGTCCTCTCCCAGCCAACCACACCCCGTATTTGCTCCCCCTACCCTCAGGGTAGAGTAAGGGGAGGGTAGGGAAGGACTAACCCATTTCCTCTCAGTTTCTTCTGAAAATACATTATTTATTTCCAATATTTCTTCGAGCATGCAAAGAGGCGTCAAATGCTGCAAAACATTTCATTTTAAAACTGCAGAACCACGGATGAGAAGGGAACATTGTCCCCAGTACATTATATATAAACATTATACTGCATATCATTGCAAATAGCGTCACGCGAGCGCAGAAGCAACGCGCAAACAAGGTTGCAGAGCCGCGAAAATACATTCGCGGATATTTCGCCCATAAACATGAGATGTGTACAATAAATAGCAGAACGGTAGAGCATAAAACTTTTACACAAAATATCGCAGGAATACTGGAGCTGGAGACGTCGGCCAGCTTGCTGGAGACACCAGGATCCCAATTGTAAATTTGGCCTCGTGTTGGCTTGTGTTTTGTGGCCTGGAGTGTATGTGGGGGGGGGGGGGGGGGGAGGGAGTCAGTGTGAGGGGCGGTCAGTGGGGGGGAGGCCAGTGTGAGGGGTGGTCGGTGGGGGGGAGGCCAGTGTGAGGGGTGGTCGGTGGGGGGGGGGGGGTGCAGTGCGAGGGGTGGTCAGTGGGGGGGAGGCCAGTGTGAGGGGTGGTCAGTGGGGGGGAGGCCAGTGTGAGGGGTGGTCAGTGGGGGGGGCAGTGTGAGGGGTGGTCGGTGGGGGGGGGCAGTGTGAGGGGTGGTCGGTGGGGGGGTGCAGTGCGAGGGGTGGTCAGTGGGGGGGGGAGGCCAGTGTGAGGGGTGGTCAGTGGGGGGGGGGGAGGCCAGTATGAGGGGTGGTCAGTGGGGGGGGGGCAGTGTGAGGGGTGGTCAGTGGGGGGGGGCCAGTGGGGGGGAGGCCAGTATGAGGGGTGGTCAGTGGGGGGGGCAGTGTGAGGGGTGGTCAGTGGGGGGGGGAGGCCAGTATGAGGGGTGGTCAGGGGGGAGGGGCAGTGTGAGGGGTGGTCAGTGGGGGGGGAGGGGCAGTGTGAGGGGTGGTCAGTGGGGGGGGGCCAGTGTGAGGGTTGGTCAGTGGGGGGGCCAGTGTGAGGGTTGGTCAGTGGGGGGGGGTCAGTGGGGAAGCCCCAGACAGCTGGGGTAGTGATGGCCCAAGTTATAGCCCCAGACTTATGATAAATAGAACAGGGATACAAATTCATGTAAGGGACCGACTAAACAAAGCCAAAGCAGCATTAGGAAAACTGAGAAGATTCCGAAGCCTCAGTACTAACATTCAGATCCACCTATATAAGGCTCTAGTTCGGCCGCATCTAGAGTATCCCCCAGTACCACTACACACCATAAAGAAAACTAACATGCAGAAACTGCAAGCAGTACAAAATAAGGCGCTAAGGAGAGCAGCAAAACACCGTCCACCATATGATCAGACAATCCAGGAGCTCCACGAACTCCTGAACATACAGCCACTAAACATCAGACTGCAGCACCAAGCCATCAGGGTGTGGAACACCATCGAAATGTTAGAGGACCCAATGTTTGAAAGATTGCTCCAAGATGAGACGCCCCGCTCCCACAGCTGGTGGCCCAAGAGCCTCGATTCTCTGGACGAAAACCCCGCCCCACAGTATATAATCCCCAGATGAGTTATATATGTGTATATATGAACAGTTCATATATGTGTATGTATGAACAACTCTATAAATAATATGTATGTATGAACAACTCGATAAATAATAATAATAAAATAAAGAGCCTTAAACAGAATAACATGTGTGGAAGCATCGGAGTGTGTATATATGAATGCTACACAGTATTCATCTATAGACATCCATATATGGTGAAACACATGTGAAGAACCTCTCACACACTCACAGCTCCCTGACAAGAGAGAGCAAGCTTAGCTTAGCTGCCAACACCCACACATCGTGTCAGCAAGGCGGACAGCCCGCCTGCTTTCATACCTTTCACTGTATTTCCCACTTCTATACTTCCCTTCACCTATGCCTCTCCTTCCTCTCTACTCCCCCTCCCCCCCCCAAAAAAAAAGAAAGTGTGAGGGATGGTAGGGGGGGTCAGTGTGAGGGGTGGTCAGTGGGGGGGGGGCCAGTGTGAGGGATGGTAGGGGGGGTCAGTGTGAGGGGGTGGTCAGTGGGGGGGGGCCAGTGTGAGGGGTGGTAGGGGGGGTCAGTGGGGGGGGCCAGTGTGAGGGGTGGTAGGGGGGTCAGTGTGAGGGGTGGTCAGTGGGGAGGGCCAGTGTGAGGGATGGTAGGGGGGGGGTCAGTGTGAGGGGTGGTCAGTGGGGGGGGCCAGTGTGAGGGATGGTAGGGGGTGTCAGTGTGAGGGGTGGTCAGTGGGGGGGCCAGTGTGAGGGGTGGTAGGGGGGGTCAGTGTGAGGGGTGGTCAGTGGGGGGGGGCCAGTGTGAGGGATGGTAGGGGGGGGTCAGTGTGAGGGGTGGTCAGTGGGGGGGTCAGTGTGAGGGGTGGTCAGTGGGGGGGGCCAGTGTGAGGGATGGTAGGGGGGGTCAGTGTGAGGGGTGGTCAGTGGGGAGGGCCAGTGTGAGGGGTGGTAGGGGGGGTATAGTTCAGTGGCTGCCCTCTATGGGGTTGTTAGAACCTGGAAGAGGAGGGGGGGGAGGGGGAGTGGAGTTCCTGGGATGATGCAATGGGGGATGAGAACCATGGAAAGGAAATCGGGTAGTGAGGGCCCAAGCTGTAGCCCCTGACAGCTGGGGGTAGTGAGGGCCCAAGTTGTAGCCCCCTGACAGCTGGGGTAGTGAGGGCCCAAGTTGTAGCCCCCTGACAGCTGGGGTAGTGAGGGCCCAAGTTGTAGCCCCCTGACAGCTGGGGTAGTGAGGGCCCAAGTTGTAGCCCCTGACAGCTGGGGGGTAATGAGGGCCCAAGTTGTAGCCCCTGACAGCTGGGGTAGTGAGGGCCCAAGTTGTAGCCCCAGACAGCTGGGGTAGTGAGGGCCCAAGTTGTAGCCCCAGACAGCTGGGGGTAGTGAGGGCCAAGTTGTAGCCCCAGACAGCTGGGGGGTTATGAGGGCCCAAGTTGTAGCCCCAGACAGCTGGGGCAGTAAGACCCACCACGTTGCCCCGGACATCTGAGGCAGTAAGACCCACCACGTAGCCCCGGACATCTGAGGCAGTAAGACCCACCACGTAGCCCCAGACATCTGAGGCAGTAAGACCCACCACGTAGCCCCGGACATCTGAGGCAGTAAGACCCACCACGTAGCCCCAGACATCTGAGGCAGTAAGACCCAGCACGTAGCCCCGGACATCTGAGGCAGTAAGACCTAGCACGTAGCCCCGGACATCTGAGGCAGTAAGACCCACCACGTAGCCCGGACATCTGAGGCAGTAAGACCCACCACGTAGCCCCGGACATCTGAGGCAGTAAGACCCACCACGTAGCCCCAGACATCTGAGGCAGTAAGACCCAACACGTAGCCCCAGACATCTGAGGCAGTAAGACCCATCACGTAGCCCCAGACATCTGAGGCAGTAAGACCCACCACGTAGCCCCGGACATCTGAGGCAGTAAGACCCACCACGTAGCCCCGGACATCTGAGGCAGTAAGACCCAACACGTAGCCCCGGACATCTGAGGCAGTAAGACCCACCACGTAGCCCCAGACATCTGAGGCAGTAAGACCCAACACGTAGCCCCGGACATCTGAGGCAGTAAGACCCACCACGTAGCCCCAGACATCTGAGGCAGTAAGACCCAACATGTAGCCCCGGACATCTGAGGCAGTAAGACCCACCACGTAGCCCCGGACATCTGAGGCAGTAAGACCCACCACGTAGCCCCAGACATCTGAGGCAGTAAGACCCATCACGTAGCCCCAGACATCTGAGGCAGTAAGACCCACCACGTAGCCCCAGACATCTGAGGCAGTAAGACCCAACACGTAGCCCCAGACATCTGAGGCAGTAAGACCCAACACGTAGCCCCAGACATCTGAGGCAGTAAGACCCACCACGTAGCCCCAGACATCTGAGGCAGTAAGACCCAACATGTAGCCCCAGACATCTGAGGCAGTAAGACCCACCACGTAGCCCCGGACATCTGAGGCAGTAAGACCCAACACGTAGCCCCGGACATCTGAGGCAGTAAGACCCACCACGTAGCCCCAGACATCTGAGGCAGTAAGACCCAACACGTAGCCCCGGACATCTGAGGCAGTAAGACCCACCACGTAGCCCCAGACATCTGAGGCAGTAAGACCCAACATGTAGCCCCGGACATCTGAGGCAGTAAGACCCACCACGTAGCCCCGGACATCTGAGGCAGTAAGACCCACCACGTAGCCCCAGACATCTGAGGCAGTAAGACCCATCACGTAGCCCCAGACATCTGAGGCAGTAAGACCCACCACGTAGCCCCAGACATCTGAGGCAGTAAGATCCAACACGTAGCCCCAGACATCTGAGGCAGTAAGACCCAACACGTAGCCCCAGACATCTGAGGCAGTAAGACCCATCACGTAGCCCCAGACATCTGAGGCAGTAAGACCCAACATGTAGCCCCAGACATCTGAGGCAGTAAGACCCAACATGTAGCCCCGGACATGTGAGGCAGTAAGACCCACCACGTAGCCCCGGACATCTGAGGCAGTAAGACCCAACACGTAGCCCCAGACATCTGAGGCAGTAAGACCCAACATGTAGCCCCAGACATCTGAGGCAGTAAGACCCAACATGTAGCCCCAGACATCTGAGGCAGTAAGACCCAACATGTAGCCCCGGACATCTGAGGCAGTAAGACCCACCACGTAGCCCCGGACATCTGAGGCAGTAAGACCCACCACGTAGCCCCAGACATCTGAGGCAGTAAGACCCAACATGTAGCCCCAGACATCTGAGGCAGTAAGACCCAACACGTAGCCCCAGACATCTGAGGCAGTAAGACCCAACATGTAGCCCCGGACATCTGAGGCAGTAAAACCCACCACGTAGCCCCGGACATCTGAGGCAGTAAGACCCACCACGTAGCCCCGGACATCTGAGGCAGTAAGACCCACCACGTAGCCCCGGACATCTGAGGCAGTAAGACCC